AAGTTTAAGAAATCTGCAAGCGACAACACCGTGAGAAACGGTAAAGCTTTACCGTTCCTCCGAAACGTCGGTTAACACCACATATACACGGTGCCAAATCCCAGAAGACTGCTTTCTTCGGAATTTAATTTGTTCACACAGCGGTTAACTAGAACTCCTAATGTATATATGAACCTCAGATCGAAATTTATATCGATCCTTTCAATAAACAACCTATCGCACTAAACAATGACATAAAATGTGCATCTGATTAGGCTCTAGAAATTTATTGGAAAAGGTAAATGTTACACGCAATACAGAACATCACCATTTCTAGCTGCAACTCTGTGACCCACCATAGATACGAAAAGCCGATGGCTTTTACTCTTAGTAGCAGTTGTCAATTACAGAGTCGACCTCTAGCGAAAACAAATTTCCTTGTTGCCAGAGAGCATACGCAGTGGAAACCTGATTTAGTATTTTAGCGTGCACTACACGCAAGAGAGAGGAACCGTTTATTTTGAAGGTTTCGGCCGTTTGTTGCGTCTGAAATTATTCAGAAAAATCTGAGGAAGCTTATTAATGCAAAGCAAGTTACAGGGAGTATATCTAAGTATCGAAGTGAGCGTCTGTCCGGAATATTTCAAGTTATTGAGGTCAGGTACTTATAAAAACGTTTGTTTTTAACTATCTTAAGATTAACAATGTCGATCACACTGACCGTGTTTTCTTCAACCGTTCGAACTCTTTGATGGTGGGTTCGAATCCCACTCAGTGCATGGATATTTATCCTCGTTTTTCGTGTTCGTTCGTGTTTGTGTTGTTCTGTGTATGTACATGTCTTGCTTTGGACTGTCCTACCAAATGTCTATAAAAGATTCATACTGCGACATGTCAAACCGTTGTTGGGCAACGGGATGTGGAACGAGTTACCACGAAGACAGACTCTGGATAAACGGTCGGTTGCCAAGTTACGCAACAGTAAGGAAAGCGGTGTTTCTCCGTGCGGCGCCATGCTGAGCCGAAGCGCGTTGGTTGCTACGCAGCAGTAAAAAAACTCCGGCAGCGTTGCTAAGCAACGCCTCTGTAGACACGGCGGTCGCGCAACAGTGAAGCAAGCTGCGTTTTCCCGCTGTCCGACTGAGGGTTTATAAGAGAAACTGGAATACCCCGTGTGGAGCAAGACCGTAACAGTCAAGCAGCAATAAATATCTGGTCATGAGCCCCAGATTGGGCTCGACACCAAGACTTACTGACTGACTGACCGTCAGTCGCAATGTGACTTTGCCTTTGCCGTGTGGAGGCGGGGTCGAATACCTCCACCCTGACCCTGCGAGTCGTAGGAGGCGACGAAAAGGGAAGTCTCAATTCTGAGACAGTAAAATATGGTCGCGAGTCCCAAGGGCCTCGGACCCGAGTAAGACTGCGCTGGCAAGGGCCAGAAGCATATACAAAAGACAGACCAGTCCTCTCGTCAGAGAAGGCGCCCCACAGAAACAAGACCGTAACTGTCAAACGGTAATAATTAATATCTGGTCATGAGCACCAAATGGGGCTCGACACCAAGACTTACTTACTGACTGACCGTCAGTCGCAATGTGACTTTGACTTTGACTTGACTAAGGAGTCATCATCATGAGACCCACTCGGGGCTCGACACCAAGACAGACAGACTGACTGACCGTCAGTCGTAATGTGACTTTCACTATGGAGTCAGTTGAAGGCAGTATTCGGCACAAGAGAGTCAGTATTCGAGTATTCGGCAGAACAGCAGTCAGTCGAAACAGCTTCGGGAAGAAAATTGAACGCGTGATACAAGATTCTGTGTGTGATAATCTGTGATAGTGGTGATAACTGAGAAGGTATTGGGAGTGCGTAATTCAGCGACACTTGTATAGCTCCCGTGTTATACTGTAAATAAGTGAAGACTACTGACGACAGCGTAATGAGATTATTGTGTAGGATTTGTAAATTGTGTAAACCCGCAACAGTGTTATAATCAATTGTAGTTATGACTTTTAGGTTGTTAACAAAACCAATTAACAATCCGAATGGCGTCAACAGTAGACCAAACACGTTACAACTGTTGGTGAACCAACTGACGTGGTTGGTAACTGCGTTAACTGCTGCGCAGAAAGTTACAGCTAAGGGAGACATTTTGACGAGTTGTTGTACAAAGTAAGCGACGTGTTGACAGCGCATTGAACGTCGAGTATAGCACGACACTGAATCTCGTTCCTCGGTTTTTGACTCATCAAATTATTTACAGAAGATGAAGGAAGAAAGAATCCGTCTCGCAGAACGAAGAAGGCAGAAGGAATTGATTAAGGCTGCAGAAACACCAGAACAAAACGGTTACGGAGACTGCTGAAGAAGGCGAAAGAACGCAGGAGGAAGGAACAGATGGGGTGGGACAGTGATTACTTTCTGTACACAAACACAGACAATCCGTATGGAGATAGCAATTTCTTGGACACTTTCGTGTGGACCAAGAAACTGGCAAAGGAAGGTGTGACTGGTTTGAGCAGAGAGGAGTTGGAAGTTCACGGTCGTCGCAAGCGAGAAGAAAACCGCAGGGAATTGGAGAAGGTCAAGAAACGTAGGCAGAAGCGTGAGGAGATGTCGCTGATGCAGCGCAGTTCCAGGAGTGGGAGCGATAGGAGAACCAGTTCCATTTGGAGCAGGCCAGACTGCGGTCCTGCATCCGCATTCAAGATGGAAGAGCGAAGTCAATCGACCTGCTGGATATAAGTGCAGACGGGGAAGTGGACGCTGTGGGGCTGAATGAACCATTTACATACCACAATGGACTGACCATCAAGGACTTGGAAGACCTGACTGAGGACATTAAAGTGTACAAAGAGTTAGAACGGGGCAAGAACCTCAGTTACTGGAATGACATCACCATTATTGTGGAGGAGGAGTTACAGAAATTGCACAGACTGGAAAACCCGAGCGCTTATGAAGCAGCGGTTGGCAGATGTGATGGGATTCACCCATCTGTAGCAAAGGAAGTTGCGTCAGCGTTCAGAGGGAAAGCTGCTGCAAATCCAGATGCAGATGAGCGGGACATCTGAGGGTCTCCAGACATCAGGATAATGTGCGTCATAAGCTGGAGATCCCGAAAGAACGGCAGGGGTTGGCAGCAACTGGTTCTGAGGAGAAGAATTCAGAGAAGTACCTCCCTCGCAAGCCTCGATACATCAGTCGGGTACACACCGGTTTTGAATGGAACAAATATAATCAGACCCACTACAATATGGACAACCCTCCCCCAAAGATTGTTCAGGGTTACGAATTCAACATAGTCTATACAGACCTCATTGAGAAGAACACAATTCCTGAGTACTCACTGACACCATGCACCGAGAACCCAGATTTTGCAAATCTACGTTTCCATGCTGGTCCGCCATACGAAGATATAGAGTTCAAGATCGTCAATCAAGAGTGGGAACGCTCTTTAAAGAAAGGCTTTCGACGTCAGTTCCTGAACAGCATTTTGCAGTTGTCGTTCGACTTCCAGCGGTGCCGCTACCGGCGTTAGTCTTACTGCATCTGTATTAGTTCCCACAAGAAACAGCTACCCTGTCTTAATTATATACAGCCAGCTGCAGAGCCAATCCAGTACACATGTCTGAGCCACATAACAAGAAATGTTTTGTAAATAATCAAAACTATTAATATCCTTGATGATAACGAACCACAGATCTGGAGGGAAAAGAGGTGCTGACCAGTACGGGGGTTGGGTTGGCTTGCTGAACAGCTGAGGTGATGTTTCCCATGAGAAATGATACCTGTTGTTCTGTAGCATTACCAGAGAATTTACTGAGTTCTTCTGTGCACCATGAATTGCATTTTCCATTGGAAAGAAGGCAGCAGCTTTAAGATAAATTGCACGCTTTCATGTGTGAAAAATCCGAGCGTCTAGAATTGTATTTGTCTGCTAAAAGGCTGGGAATGAACAAGATTGAAGGTACGAGTTGTCATAGCTTAATAAGGACTTGTTTTAAGTGGCAGAAATTATTCAGACTGATAGAGTTGGATAGGCCTGTGTGGAGGCGTGAAGCAGGGTTGAAAGGAGAGTTGAAAGCTTCGGTTAAGCTGACAGTTGGGGCAGTAATTGTGACACTGTAAAGTGTGCAAGTGTAAAAGCGAAGTACAATAAATATTCGCTACATCCTTGACCGGCGTGAAGTTATTTGTCGCGTCACACAGCCAACACGTGATAATACTTACAGAAACTAATTCTAAATTTTAACGGGTCAGATAGATTAACTACTAAGGCTGAAGGAGAAGAAAAAGAAATTTGCATTCAGACCTTGCGGTGTCTATGCTAGTAGGGGAATGTAAAATGGGGGGGGGGACATACAAGACGCCAGCACATAAATACTGGAAGCAGGATTATGAAAAGTTACGCGGTGACAGAATAACATGATACCTAAACTTCCGAACTGTGTAGAAAATAGTTTTTACATTTGTTTGAAACAGGCCTATTTAGTACTGCGGTTATGTGGACTACTGATGCTATGCATCAAAACAAACAAACAGGGTTTTATTCGTTCAGGTTCCACTTCATACATCTGTTCACAATTTCTATTGTTTGTAAAATTCTTGACTATCCTGTTCTAACAGAGGGTGCAACAGCAACACTGAAGCATTTGAATTGTTTAGTTATGCGTTTCCCTGCTGGGGCATGACGCAAGATCAGGCCGGACACAATACATTGC